GCTCTCTTCAAAAATATAAAAAATTCATCCCCTGAAAAAATCATCCCCTGAAAAAATCATCCCCTATTTAGAACCCTTAACTTTTTTTTTTTCAAATGGCACCCCTATTTTTTTTTTTTTGAGAAGCTTATGAAATTACAAATTTGCATGGTGTATAAAAAGTTTGTTTTTCCATGTCTCTTGGGGGAAAAAAATGGGTGTCCCACCCTTAGTCTTATACAGGCAATCGCATTTTTGTCTACAAAAATAAAAATATGACAAAAAAAATTAATTGTGTGCAAATTAACCCCTTTTCAAGAATATTAAAAAAATCTTCCCTAACAAACTCATCCCCTAAAAACAACTCTTGCCTTTTTTTTCAAATAGAACCCCATTATTATTATTTTCATTTTTGAATTTTTTTTCCAAGGAAACACGGAAAAAGAAACTTTTCATACATCATTGAATTTGCAATTTCATGAACTTCTCAAAAATAAAAAAAAAATTAGGGGTGCCATTTGAAAAAAAAAAAGTAAAGGGTTGTAAATAGGGGATGATTTTGTCAGGGGAAGATTTTTTTATATTTTTGAAGCGCGCTTAACTAACCATTGGTCAATTTTTTTGTTTCAAATTTTTATTTTTAAAAATAAGAAAGTTATGGCCTGTAACGCTGATTGTGGGACACCCTGTATATGTATACTATGTGACAAAAAAAACGCATCACTCATCAAAAGTGTTTATTTTTCAACAAATTTTGTACATATGTTAAAATGGTGTAAAAAATAACAATTATTGATTAAATGCTACTTTATTTGTATATTTTTTATTAAATTTAATTTCACTTTTAATAGCCCAAGCATATCTACAGAATTTGGTTAACAAATATCTATACTTCTATGGGGTGATGCGTTTTTTTTGTCACACAGTATATGTGTCAACACAAATGGCTTTGCAAAATCGAAATTATGAATTTTCAAATTTGTTCAAAAAAATGCGGCCAAAATTTTGTAGAAAATAATATACAGCCACTAAGATTTAAACTCGCCTAATCTTTAAAATGATTAGAGAGCCACTACTGCAAACATTTAAACTCGCCTACTTATACCTCTTTCAGGACCCCTATGATTTCTAGAACTTGGAAGAAAATGCAAATGACTGTTGTTTTGATTTGGCGTAACTTATGTTGCATACAATTTCGACAGAAAGCCATATAAACACATGAAATAAGACATTCTTTATTAAGTTATTTCTAGCATTTAAAAACAATGTGACAATCCTCGACAAATCTCGACGAGAGAGAGCGTTCCCTCGTCTCGTCTCGAAGTGAGTTTTCGAGAGAAAATCGGTCTCTGGTCTCGGCGGCATCACTACTAATCACTAGCAAAAACTTCTGTGACAGCTTTCTTCTAACGGTAAAGGTAAAGGCCGCAGGTGGGCTGTAAATAATATGAGGAAGCACGCTGTACACTTATGTTTATTGATGACGTTTTGTTATAAATGTGATTCGTAGTCATATACCACGTTTAAGCTTCTCGTTAAACTGAAAACGTTTTACTATAAAACGCTTGTATAAACACCCCATAAACCGTTTTATCTCGTTAAACCATTTTGATCTCAGAAGTATAAGCACCAGGATAAAATGTTTCAAGTTCGAAAACGTTTAAGCGGTTAAAACGGTTCAACGGAAGCATAAAATTGATAATAGTCAGTAAAAAGACTCTATACATTTTATTGAACACAACTGTATAGTTATTATGATACCTCTATAAGGTTTTTGTGTAACTAAACTTTAATAGGATAGAGTTTAAATGAAGGCAGCATATAGAGGAAAGGCGCCTAATATTGGGATACTGCCTAATATTGGATAGGTACCTACCTATTTTAATAACGTAACTGTATATGTGCTTCTTTCTAGTAACCAGAAGCTGCGTTACACCTTAAAACCCCACTAATAAATTTGCAGAGTTCTATGATAGACTATGTTGTCATAAACGACATTTAAATGAAATGTGTGTGTTTGAAAATTATTTGCTCCCTATTTTAGGTGCTGAATTATCAGTTGAAAGATGAAAATTTTAAATATTTCTAAATGGAATGGCTAGTGCATGTTATAAAGTAAATTTTTGTAGACTTTTCATTAATAAAATCTTATTTTTTTTCTGTCCAAAATAATTATAACCTAAAAAATGTATGAGGTGCCTAATATTGGATAGCTAAATGATAGCTATAGGTTCCCAATATTGGATATCCGATATTAGGCTTTGAGATCACCTGCAATAATATATTGTTTACAGAAATGGCTACTTAGAGAAGATAGTAATGGGATAAAGCAAATATGACTAGTGCTATAAAGTTTTGAAATTATCAATAGCCTTTGAATAAAAAAATGGTTTCCTAATATTGGATACCCTATCCAATATTAGGCTACTTTTTTCTAAATTGACAAAATCAGCAATTTTTTTAAAATATTTAATTACTTATTGCTTAACTCCATTAAACTGGCCCAAATGTAGGGATGTTTTTTTGATATAATTTTACAGTTTAAAAAAAAGTATCCAATATTAGGCGACTTTCCTCTACTATTTTACCTATATATTGCCTGGAAATATGATCTTTTTATTTCTAACCTTGCTTGGCTATAAAAAGAAACTTGTGAATCATTCCACAGCAAGTTTTATATTTTTTTGAATTTGTGAACTCTGTAAGATATGCCTACTACTTACTAATAAATAAATATAAAAAGGAATCTATCGCTGTTTTTTTTAAAAATATCTATGAGTGGTTGATTAAAGGACTTATTGGTTAGGTCAATATTAGACCCTAATAAGTTGGTGACCAAATTGCCGGGCCCTCAGGTACCATTAAAACTGTTTAGTGACCAAATTACCAACCCCACCTACATATAGGTTAGGCTGTTTTCAAAATTATTTCGGTATCCCTCTACCTATTCGCAGTAGGATTTTATTCAGATATTTTGGACCCAAAGTCATATACCAAACTAAATGCATGAGTACCTACAACATTATTGTAATTCAGCTGACATTTCTGAATATGAATCAACTTGTACATCCAATCGAATCTAGGCTATATATTAGCAGTTGGTACCTAACACAGGTGAAAACATGCGGCGATCATGTTTGTAAAGCCCGAAAAGTAGGAACAAGAAATGTCTTCAAAACTATCGTCCTCTTGAGCAAGGTATTTGAAAGCGCTATTGAAAGCAAATTTCTCTACGGAGTCGAAGAACTCAACATCATTCCTGATCACAGTATCTCGAATCACTACAAGAGCTCACATTGGTCTACAACTCAACCAAAGTCTTTATTAATAAAGCTGCCGTATTCCTGGTCTACTCTTCAAGATATATTTCGCGGAGTTTGATCTTAACCTACAATGCTTGCGTTGCCAGTTCTTTCCGATCGAATTGACCGTAACAAAAGACCCACCCCATTGGGCTAGAGGTAGGTATCACTATGCATAGGAAACTCACTTAGACTAGATTGAAGCAGCATGGCGAGGCGACTACTATGTAGCTGGAGAAACTCTACTCCCTTCGACTTGTCTATGAAGGTTGTCTCTTCCCGAGATAGTGAACCTCAACAATATTAATGCTGTTCCACAAAATCGAAAAACGAGACCATGACACAGGTTGGTTTCTTCCTATCTCCTCTAAAAACAGGTGCTTTCAATCTGGACCACATTGTACTGTGGTTAGGTATTTATAAGTTAACCAAGCAGAGGAATTTTATAGGTACATATTACCGATCTCTTTTATTTCAATTTCAACAACCATTTTACTTATTCAGAAACAGAAAATTCTTCTTAACGTGAATATTTATCTTCAATTGATTCACGTTTTCGAGACATCTGTGTTTTTTCCTGTCCCACCACTGCAAAATTTACTGTTTTTGGCACACATTCTCACCGTTATTTATAACTAAGTTTGGTCGATGTCCACTGCCAAATGATATTGCTAAGTATGCTATAAGTCCTTATCGTACATTGTGTTCGTGATATTTTTTTGCCACTGCCAATAGTAATTATTCTTTATTTTACTGAAATTAACACGGTGAAGCGTTATCTGACACTACTCACGATAGTCAAATATTTTTTGGTTCAGGTCAATGTGATAGGTACGTGGTAATCTGCACTTTTCGAATTTGAATACAAAAATTAGCCCCTAGGATAAAAGATTCTGGGCGTGTGAAATTCTGAAACGATTTCGCGAACTACACTCTGGCCCAGGCCAGTGAAAAAATTCAAGTCTCAAAAAATATTTTTGCCTCAATTTCAAGTACCCATAAATTTCCTGTGTAGGTACAATTTCCTGTTTTATTATTTTATCCGTTACTTACACACTTTCCTGTTTTCGGATTGAATATCCTTTTTCGATTTTGCTCATGCACCTCCCTTTGAGATATTTTTCCTTGAATAATTGAACAAGTTGGCTATACGGCTTATACCTACATATACTTAATCGATAGAATGATCAATACGATGACTTGCAAATAGATAAACCATGTTTCATCAGATTTTTTGAAATGGCTCCAATAATTAGAAAATTAAAGTAAAAACTTTTTCAAGCGTGACAGTCATAAGTGAGAGATTATAAGTAGAAAGAAAATTAGAATTGTTCACAAAAACTTCTAAAATCTTTGCAGCATCTCAGATGAATGAGAAGTAGGTGATATGTATTTCTTTTATGTAAGCCGACCACGTACTGGGAAATAGTGCCTGCGTATGCAATAGAATTATATTTTTGGTCAGATATATTATTGGGCGATGGATAGGCTGAGCTAATTGCCATAGGATAACGTTTTTCTCAAACTATAAATCATCTACCAAACCAACATTAAATTCGTTATTGACTGCAACCTGTTTAATAAAATTGAGTTCCTTCTTAGCATAGAATAATTTGATAAATGACAAAAATTGACTTGCATTGTTGCTTATTGCTCTTATATCTTTAAGATAGGTACCTTCTTTTTAATTTTTGAGTTTTTCATTTGAATTTTTTTCAGATGGGACAAAAACTAACTAGGAAAAATGAAGAATTCTATGAGAAATTAGACAATGTTCAAAAGCTTCCAAGCACGCCAAAGGTAAATTATTTAAACGTTTTGTGTCTTTATAAATTTTATTTAGGTATTTTATAAACATATGAAATTAAGTACCTACCATAGATATTAATCTTTCTAATTTCCAAAGTAAAATCTATATTAAATTTCACAAAACTGCTTGATAATCTAGAATCTTCTATGTGTCCCTTATAAAAATAGAGAAATATTTTAGGCTGTTGACGCAGTATATTTCAACGCCGCTAACAAAAATGGAGATCATTTAATTGTGGGCACTGCCAGAAGACCCAATAGATTGATCGATGGATTTTTCTATCTAAAACTTCAATCCTCGAAATTTGGTTTGCTAGAATCTCCCAAAATTCCAGATACAAGTTTGTTTAATAGCGCTGCAGAGGAAAGCTATGAAGCAGATGGTGAGAATAATCATAACGTTTCTTAGATTTTCAGGGTGGAGTTTTGATGTTTTTCAAAAATTTGTAGGAATCCAAATAGCTTTAGTAGAGCCAATGAAAAAATGGAGAATATCGTTCAAAGGCAATCTAAAAGAAGCTAACAATAGACAACAATTGCATAAGGTATCAATTGACGCTCAATTTACTTCGGACGAACCTTGTTTCAATTATGAAACTCAAATGGACGATTGGACAATGGCTAAATGCTTGGCCTATGAAAATTGGAGTCGGTCCTATTTTAAAAATATGAAAATGTAAGATTTTTTTTTTTATTTCTTAAAGGGGGTGTAACCTTAAAGTACAACTTGTCATCAGAAAATAAACGAAAAAAATTCTAAGAACTCTCGTGAAAATCTCGCATCGCTACTCAAAATAATTAGGTAGATGCGCCTAAATAAAGTTTTGTCTATTTATCGCGTGACGTCATAAACACTCAAAAAATACAAAACCTATCTGAACTGACCGGTCGGCGGACTCAGTTTGTCGATATGACGTCACAGTGGGAATGGGAAGTTTATACTACGGTATCTTTGCAACGGTTGGTCGTAGCCTAGTGCGGTTTGAAAATTTGTTCTTAGATTTTTTATTTTTGGGTCACACCCCCTTTTAGATTTATTTGTAAAAATATTTTTATATAGGGCGCATCAGCTTCATTATGAACAATTCGGAATTTTAAAAGCCAAAATCACAGTGGACGATGAGGCATACGAAATTGAATTTGATGCTGTAAGAGATCATACCATTGGAAAGCACAGAGATTGGGCCAGTTTTAGACGGTACGCCCTTCATTGGGTCACTACGGAAAATGGTGACCATTTTTCAGTTGGATCCGTATGTCAGCCTATCAATTTTTCAAGGTTTGTGAGAGTTATTTTACTAATATTCAATGTTAATTAAAACATTTTAAGGATGCAAATTGGTTATATGTATAACGCCCTTGAAAGGAAGATGTATCCGGTAACTAACAGCACATTTCATCTGTATCAGTGGGGTGAAATGGGTAGTCCACCTAAAGATTACGCGTTTACTTTTAATGCTGGTAAATATATAATTTTTTGACAAAGAATCGGTTCTTATTAAGAGAGAATGTCATAAAAATGCACATTCGCATGGAGTAACCAGAATAGTCAAAATGAAAAAAATTGATCCGAAGCGTCAGATTTCAAATTCTTTATTAGTATCCCGAAGCATAGACCTAACGTAGTAGTTAGGTCTATGCCCGAAGTAAGTAAAGGGTAGCAGTAGAAATGTATAATTTTGTAGCGTAGCACCACCAAAGTTGGTGAGAATATTGCTTTAGCAGATAACGAGAAGTACTAACTTTAGTGGTGCGACAAAATTTTTCAAGGAAAGTAGATCATTTTACGGTTTTCGGGTTGAATTTCTCCCGTTCAACCTCGTGATAGAAATATGCTTTTTCGATAGGTATGTCACTGAAGCAATAATATTAGGTACCTACCACACTACAAAATTTTTGATATCTATTTCATATACATTTTTGCGGTGGAATCTATCCCCTTCAACCCCGCCCTGGACAAGTGACTTCAACGATTTATCAGTTTCGGAACGGTTCCAGTCAAGATATCTTATATTTTCTTTCTGTGTAATCTAATCTTATAGGTACATATTTGATTTGTCATTTGAATTGCTCAATTTACTATAAATATTTTCTTTGTATTTATGATATACCCCTAAAGCTACGTTCACAAACTCAGGTATCTGTGGTTTCGTGGGTATAGGGCGATTTGTCGTTCTCTCAATTGAATATGGCGCCGTGGGAATAACACACCTGACAACCGTGAAGGCACGTTTACATTCAATTCCCATTCAAATTACAATCAACTGGAATTAAATTTCATCATCATCATAGGCGATCACTTGATACCGATCTTCTATTCTATTCTTATTGTCGTCGATTGTGCGTTTTCTGATGGTTATATAAACCAATTCTAGAGCCGCACACTCTTTCACAGTCTTGGCACACCCAGTCTCTGGCAGCATTGTCTCTCTTTCTCTCTGTTCTCTCGCTCCTTCCTGAGGTCCCTCTTTTCAGTCTCGTGTCTACGTCGCTCTTCTTCAAAAGTTTGTGGTCCGTCGTGGACTACTCGACGCCATGGCCCATGAGGGGCTCGTATTTTTCTAGACATTTTATGTGTCTTCTATAGGTGGTTGTGCAAAACCACATAATGGAAGATAAATAACTTGATAATTAGTGGACTGTATAATTAGGTGGACTGGATGATCGACTGGATAGGGAACTAAAACACACGCGCTTTTCACTGACACTATATTTACAACAATTTACACAATATTTACACTATTTACAATTACTACTACAAGATGACAAGAAGCCAGAGCTTGCTTAGATGCCCAACAGGGCAGAGCTAGATTATAAAATTTATTAAAATGTGAAAAGGTTTCTGGATGCTTGTTAACGTGGACAAGCTCCAAGCTACACTGCTGCAATGACAAAAAATGGCGCGCAATATATTGACAGACATGACAAAATAGACATGACGACAACGCTGCAGTGTTGCAAACTTTATATGTATAAAAATATTTTGCCATCAAAAAGAGATAGCATGATTGTTGGAACATGTTTCCAACATGCTGGGGGGCCTAGAGTTTCACATGAAACCAAGGTAAAATTTTCCAGCAAAAAAAATAAAAAAATTAAAGAGAAAGTAAGCAACCCTTTTTTTAAAAAAAGGTATGATTTCAATGATGATCCAGTAAACGAAAACTTAACTAACAATTAAAGCTAAAAACATTTCTGGAACACATAGTATGACATTATGTATGTATATACGAGTATAGCTAATTGAATATAAATATAAATCTAAATGTTTTACAAATATATGTACAGAATTTTGTGAATAATTTTCAAAAATATTATTAACAATTATTGTCATCAATCGGTAACACTGCAATCTTGGTAACCGATCTGAGATAAATACCTTTTTTGGTTTTCACTTCGACAATCCTTACTTTGCCGTCCTTTCCAGGTATTGCTTTAACTATTCTTGCCATTGGCCACTTATAAGAAGGTACATTATCCTCTTTTAAAATGACTAACAAGCCCTCCCTAAGGTTAGGCATCTCATCACGCCATTTTGGCCTATTTTGGAGTTGCGTTAGATAGTCGTGATACCACTTTTTCCAAAAATGCTGCTGCATCTGGACACACAATTTCCAAAACTTAAGTCGACCTTGGGGAATTTCCGTCAAATCAGGGTCAGGAAAGCTTGTGATAGGCGCACCTATCAAAAAATGACCAGGGGTCAAATAGTCCAAATCTGAAGGATCTTGTGACAAGGCTACAAGTGGTCGGGAATTTAAAATTCCTTCTACTTGGACAATAAGAGTATTAAATTGTTCATAGGTAAGCTCATTGCTACCTATGACTCGCTTGATGTGAAATTTTGCCGATTTTACTCCAGCTTCCCATAAACCACCAAAAACTGGAGAATAGCTCGGTATAAAATTAAATGTAATTTTTTCCTGAAGGGAATAATTTTCAATTTTTTCTGTTTCGTTATAAAACTCTTTGATTTTATTCTCGGCTCCTTTAAACGTGGAACCATTGTCGCAGAAAATATTTGCGGGCTTCCCCCTCCGCGAAATAAAACGCTTCAGAGCAGCTAGAAAATTTTCGGTTATCAGGTCTGAAAGCAGTTCCATATGAATTGCTTTGACTGAAAAGCACACAAAAAGTGCTATGTATGCCTTGGAACTTACGGATTTTCTAATTCGAGATTGCTTAACGAGGAAGGGACCGCAAAAATCTACCCCGACATTTTGAAACACTCTGGCTGAACAGACTCTTTTTTCCGGCAAGGAACCCATTAATTGAGTGGAACATTTTGCTTTGAATTTAAAGCAAATCACACATTTGTGTAGCTCTTTTTTAATTAATCTTATTGCATTTATGAGCCAATAATTGAGGTTTAGGGAACCTAAAACTTGTCTTGGTCCAGCGTGCAACAAAGTTGAATGTTCTTGTATTATAATTAATTTGGTGATGTGACTTTCCTTGGGCAAGATCACAGGATGTTTCTGATTATATGGAATGTTTGAATTATGTAACCTTCCACCCACTCGCAATAATCCATTGCCATCTAGGAACGGCGACAAAGAGTTTAATGAGGATTTTAAAGGGGTATTGGAAAGTAAAGATTTAATGTCATTAGAAAAGTAAAAGTCTTGCTCACATTTTATGATTACTCTAAGACTGTGTTCCAGTTCTGAAAGCTTCAAACTTCCCTCAAGTTTTTCACCAGAATTTTTTCCAGAATTGTGAACAAATCTAAGTATATAGGCAAAAACTCTTTGAAGTCTTCTAAGGGATGAAAAATCTTCAAAAAATGAATTTGGCTTTGTTTTTATGACTTGTGTTAAAAATTTTTCTTCTGGCAAGGAAGCAGGAATTTCTATAGGAATCTCGATTGGGGGCAATTTAGCAGCAGAAATAAAATTATTACTTTGAGTAGGTGGAATTGAAACCGATTGAGCAATATTAGTTGCTAAATTACTAGTATTAGCTGGTCCTGGTAAATTAGATTTAGGTAAACAATTTTTAATACTTACAATGACATCATAAAAAAGAGTTTCTACATCATCAATTGAATCATCATAGTTACCATCAAGGCACAGAATTTCAACTTGAATGTCTTTAAGCTTTTGAAAACTGTCCTGCAATATTTCCTTCCGAACTAAAATTGGTCGGTTTTATACTCACTGTCAGGATCAGATTTGTGCTTTTTGGTAGCCATATTTACAAAGTTTACAATCAAAAAAAATAAGAAAATATCAAAAGAAATCTATAAACAAAATTTAAAATTACCTAATAAATTAGATTTTTTTTTTTTAAAAACTACTTAACAAAACGAAAAACGGATAATTGTTCATCCTTTAAATAAATAATGAAAAAATAGCAATAATTAATGCGAAAAATTCAGTTTTTCAAAAATAATGCAAATTCACTCAAATTCACTGCAAAAATCCAAAATACACAAACAACAAACAACAAAACGTAAACAAATGTTTGACATTTAATTTGAGGTTAAGCTGTCGGGGTGGTGAACTCTCACTTTCATGTTCGTTGCTCCGGGGCTGTACTTCATTGCACCAAGCAAGGATACTGCACCCGGGGTGACTTGGGTTGAACCAGACGAGAAAAAGAAGCACCCTTTTGAATTTGACAAGTGAAGTTTGTTTGCTCCGCCCCACTCTACATACGCACTTCCGGTTCCGGCGGAAACCTTCGCTGATGGCACGTGGAACCCAACGTTGTTTGAGACACGTGCAGACTGCACAGTGGATGATTGATTTTTTGCATCACATGGCGCCAAAAATCACGATGGAACAATCAATAACCACTAAAAAGGCACTTTTTGAGGGTTTTTAAAGCACTTTTAGGTTCCGAACTATCCAGTATCCGGCTCGAACTGGCCAAAATTATGTGCAAAACCACATAATGGAAGATAAATAACTTGATAATTAGTGGACTGTATAATTAGGTGGACTGGATGATCGACTGGATAGGGAACTAAAACACACGCGCTTTTCACTGACACTATATTTACAACAATTTACACAATATTTACACTATTTACAATTACTACTACAAGATGACAAGAAGCCAGAGCTTGCTTAGATGCCCAACAGGGCAGAGCTAGATTATAAAATTTATTAAAATGTGAAAAGGTTTCTGGATGCTTGTTAACGTGGACAAGCTCCAAGCTACACTGCTGCAATGACAAAAAATGGCGCGCAATATATTGACAGACATGACAAAATAGACATGACGACAACGCTGCAGTGTTGCAAACTTTATATGTATAAAAATATTTTGCCATCAAAAAAGAGATAGCATGATTGTTGGAACATGTTTCCAACAGTGGTTTATGTTTCGCAGCTATATTTGACTGTTGGTATTACAACTGCATTGTAGACGCGAAGTTTGGCCTCCGCGCTGGGTCCTTATTCTTGAAACAGGGGAGCGACGTTCCCAGGAAAACGAGTGTTCGATCTTCCTCCATGATATGCAAATGATAATATAATTAATAAAGACGGAACGCTCGTTCTCCTGGGATCGCTGCTTCCTTGTTTGAAGAATAAGGACCCTGATGTCATGACTATTGAAGACTCTCTCTCTCTCTCGGCGGATTCTGCAAGTTAGTAGAGGTTTGTAAAGGTACTCACTAACGGAATCCATTTTTTTTAGGTAAAACTGATTATGCTATGCAAGTAAACATATCTGAAGCCCCCTATTTCTATATAAGTAAAAATTGGGAATCAAAAGTCTATGAGTGTCTCTGCACGGTCAGAATTAACGGCATAAAGGGTTATGGGGGTGTGGAATGGGATTACAGGAACGTAGAAGGACGAAATGTGGAAGAATAAAAGGACGTTAATTGTACCAACTTCCCAGATTTTTAATTTTTAATAATTATTGTAGTTATGCACAATTTTTTGTACTTTTTAATAAAGTTATTTCATCTTCTTTTTTTTTTATTTAGAGAAACGGGGGACACCTAATAGGTACTACCAGTCAAATAAAAAGACGCATTTTCATAATAGGTAGTAATTTTTATTGTAATTAAACATTTGCAACTTTATACATTAAATACGAAATCTGAAAATCCCTCTATTACTTGGTCCTAACAATTATTAAAAAAGAGAAACCAATAAATAAATAAAAAAATATTCAAAACTAACAATGAATTAATATCCTATACATGAAAAATATACAGAAGTTAGCAGCATGTACTAAAAAGACACACACACAATCGTCCCATACATTTCTAATACTGAATTAGGGGAATAATTTATTATTACAGATTACAAATAGATAAATTAAATCACAACTCTATTATAGTGGCGGCTTGTGATGATTGAAGTATAAGTTGAGTTTGCATATTCGTTATGGCAGTTTATGGTAAGCTATCAATGTTTCTTGGCTGTTTAAAATTATTTCACAACATCCCAAAACCTAAAAGCACCAACAATGTTTTGCCAATAAAAATTTCAATTTTACATTAATTCGATCCTCCCCACCTCAGAAAAAAAAAATAACTTCTTAGCCACCACTAACTAACTCAAGTATAATATTTTAAAAAAAAAACAAGACTAATCAAAAATATTATAAATTAGGTATGTAATTATGTATGTATTTGTACAGCCCTATTAAATATTATCGGAGAAATTATTTTGTGGGTACATTTCAACAGTAAGTATTTTCTTCTAGGTCTATGTACCATTTCGATAAACCCTTCGACTTAGTAATTGCACCTATAAAAGAGCTTACCCGAATATTCATAATAGGTCTAAGGGTGCTAAAATGTAGCAGCAAGTGAAGTCAAACGAAAATTAGCTCTTAGAAAAAATGTGTTTCTGGCACTGACAGTTTGAAGCGGCTATTTCCTCATTCCCCATGAATTAATTTTCACACTTTACACAAAAAAAAATTGTCATTAAATTGAATATATCGGAAAACTAAAACAAGCGGATTTCAGATACCCAATCTCATTTTATCCGATCAGAGCATTATAATTCACAGATCTTGTGAGCTACGCTTCAATATCCTTATCCCTAATTTTATCACTGGCGGCACAAAAATTTGCTGATGTTGATGATTAAACGCTTTTGTTGGTAGATTAAACACGCAAAAATTTAAAAATAAAAGCTAAAAAATCTTTTATACATTGAAATGGTGGGTATAATTATAATGGAGACAATTTGAAAGTGAAGTTCAAAACATGAAATCCCGTTTATTCTTGAAATTTTCCTGCGAATTAATTGTAACAGGATTCAAAATAAGTTTACCCGTGGATTTCTTTCATGAACGTGCGAAAACATACCTATATGACTTATGAGAAATTTTAGTCAAGCAAAAATTTGACGAAAGGCAAATACAAATTTTTGATTTCAGTGAATCTAGTATACTTATAGTTTTCGAGTTTGCGAAAAAGTCTCACATGAAAAAATGAGTTAGGCTTTTTTAAATCCTACAATATACAGAAAAATTGGGAATAACGGTATTTTGTGTTTTGTCCTCCTTGAAAATTTTCAAGTGATACCATGGCACAGATGGCCTATAAAAAAAACCAGGCCTAATTTCACTAATGACATCATCGTGGAACTGCTCGATAGCATTAGATGTTTTAAGGCTGACGATCTGATACAAACAAATAAATTCCAAAATGTATAATATGATATTTCAGTAAATAATTCTCTGTCAGATAATATTTAATAAAGAAATACAAATCAATTATTACTAATGACATAATTACCACTCTGCGTTAATATGTAACTGATCAATACCAATAAAAATGTAGCGCCATTGATTCACAAAAGACAAAATATGCTTACAGTTTTAATAATGAAGTATCTATTTATTTCGATGCAAAAACTTTTTCAATCTTTTTTTGCAGAAGTTAATTATAATATACTATGCACAGTAAAAAATCCTAGATTATATAGTTAATTAATAAAATATGAGACAGATCAACAATATGTGTATACAACTAATCTATACAGGGGATTTTGGAGGTACTCCAATCAAGGCAAATTAGAAGCAATACTGTTTAAAATCGTTCCAATATAGAGCCATTTGTGAACTTGATGTCGAGGTTTTATGATGAGTTTCCTTCAAGATTAAACAAGCAAAAATTCAAAAGCATTTTAAAACCCAGTTTCCATCTGGGATGAGGTGTGGACATCTCCTACTTTGGTCAATACCAAGTTTTTTGTTTCGGTGAAGTTCAACGTTCATGGCCCAAAACTAACCATATGTTACGTTAAAATATCTTCATTACTCCCAGGTACCAGGTAGGTGGTAGGCAACTTTTATTCACCTACAATCAAACAGGTAATGTTGACAGGCGACTTTATTGCTGGTTGGGAAGCGTCACATGACTCACATTGCCTACTTCCGGCCGGCCCTCTCTTACCGCCATGAATTTCATGATGTGTCAATAACATTTTTAATAACAAAACTTGTACAAAAAATAAATTCTTTTTTTTTAGTTAAAAATGTAATGATATAATAAAATAGTATACAAACTTCGGTAAAAAGTGTCATTCCTGTCCTCCGCGTCTCAGTTAACTAACTAATCTCGCTATAGGAATGAAACGCTTCCCGCATTGATATATATGTGTTTCACTATTTTATTCAAACTGGTAGAAGCTAGACTTTGCTACCATGTCAATTCATTCAGAGATCTTTTTCTATAAAAAAAAATACTTGTTTTAAATTAAGTACCTACTCAGGGGGTTTTTTAAACTTTATATTTTTCTTTAAAGTAGGTAGGTAACACAACAGTCGTTTCAGTAACTAAAAAAACCGAGCTCGATCGATTTCATTTTAAAGTGATGTTGCATGAAACGTATAAATTTTATAGAAAGATGTTTTGAATAAAAATGGCTGATACGTAATTATTCTATCGAAAAAGCTCTCCACATGCATGGGTATAGGATATTCGGTTTATGAAATTAAACACACTTAAAAAAATAAGTTCGGATTAGTCTTCGGGATAAAAACCCAAGAAGTAAATTCCTCAGGATCGATGCAACCTGTTTGCATAAACCGAAAACATCAGCAACCTCACCAACATCAACTTCAAGTTTATACCAAAATTGAACCATTTGAAGAAGTACACAACAACCAAGTTGTCTCAAGTATCTTTTTGGCGTATGCCTGTCTCCTCAATAACTGAGGGGAAAGGTTGGTTTATTGATGTTTATTATTAGAGAGGTGGCTGTCGATTTTGTACAAATTTTGTTTTGGATGGAAGTTCTTCTCTCAATTATTGGATGATGATACTGCTTATCTGCCTGCCGTGATCCTGTGATGAAAGTCTTAAACAACCTGACAAAGCTAAGTGCTACCTATAAAAAAGTGTTTGGCTGATTTGCAGAAATTTTAATTTTTCGATTGTCAATCAAATCATACCGCCCAGTACACAGATAGCCCTTTTTTACAACTTTGCCGGGACTATTTTTTTTTTGTTTCTGCGCTAACCAGACCGACTCTTTTCTGTTTGTCATCATAAAATTAAGTGAAGATCAAATTTCCAGTCAGAACTAAAATCGTGACGGAATGGAAATACTGCTCCTAAACTATTAGCAGCGTTTCTAAACAGAAATGCAAATTTGCCTTGTGAAGGAACTCCTAGGAAAACTCTACAAAAAAAAAATTGCTTTCAAATTAAAAGTTAAAAATACACATCTAAATAATTAATGTTACCAATATATATTTCTGATTCTAATAATATAAATATATAAATTTTGACAATATTAATGTAACAGAATCGAGTCTTTGGTTTTTGGCAAACTCGATATTTTAATAAACTTCTATTAATTATAATGCATCAGACAAATCGGTCTGATCATAAAAATTTCATAAAAACACAGCTAAATGTGTGCTTTAGCATGTCAAATAACTTGAAGCAACTAGAACCATTATAAACATAGACAGTATCTATAAGTAAAACCGCTCTTTGAGGATTTCTATAATTTCCCATTCCTTCTATCTCGTGTGAGATTCCTGATACATTCATCAATTACAATCACCTCTTTTTTCGAAGTCACTTTTCCCTTTTCTGGAAACAAAATTATAAATTGGGAAAAAAGGAGAAATGTGAAAATTTAGCACGCACTCATAATCTTGCATGTTGGGATTGGAATTGACTAGAAAGATTAAAATAATATTAAGTACATTTTCATAAAGTTTAATGCCTATTCTAAATATATCAACCATCAAGAAATCGAAAACAATAAATAAAAAAATAAAATTATTTCATATAACTGATATTTTGAAGAAAAAAATGTTTTCATTATCATTCCTGATTGTAAAGTGAAGATGTATTTCATTATACACATGAATTTTGATAAGATCCTTCGAGGAAGATCTACTCTCCTTGATTTTCATTAACGAGGCATTAGCTTTTCCAAAACTTCTAACACTTGCTTACAAACAAATAATTTACACGCATTATACCATACCCACCCAAACAATTCTTTTTAATTTTCAAAACTCCTCGTTACCTATATAACACAGGCGAAAAATCAGTTCGTTTCAGAGTTGCGACGAGCTTGTACTCTCATCCTCTGAATTACTATCAACAGCATCAGCAGCTAATCTTTTAGGACTAGGCAAAGCTAAAATCTCATTTCTTTTGTCCATTTCATTGGGTAACGCTGGTAGTTGAAGGTCGACTTCGTTATCGTCATCCAAATCCAAGTTATCGTCCAATTCTGACCTTTTATCTTCATGAAGGTACTTCGGACTACTGTTTTGATTATTGCCCCATAAAAACACGTCATCATCTTCAAAATTGGCATTTCTTGCGGAAGACGATCTGGGCTCTTCGCCTTCTTCTTTATTCGTAGAGAGGGCGTTTGATGAAGAGCTCAAGCTGAGCGGGTTTCTAATTCTAGATTTTTTGGTACACGGAGATTTAGTGGGAGTATTTTTTGGAGGTGTAGTGTTCCTGAAACTCCTTCTTAATATCCTGGAGGCTACAAGTTCGGGACTTTCATCTAAATCCAGCACATAGCTGACAGAGTCAGATTTTTCCACCACTCCCTTTACTATTGGGGAAGCAGGCGGTGACAGTTCATCCTCAAATATTGAGGAATTTTTAGATTTTCTACTTCCACTAGAAGTTTCAAATGGTATTCCTTTATGAGATGATTCTCTGAAAGAAAATGCTCTTTCCAAAGACTTTGAGGAATTGTGTTTTTCGTTGAAACTTGAACTGTAGATGTTCGAACGATTAAATACAGTTTCTTCAGCCTGCTCCATAACTTTGGTGAAAACTTCCTTATTTTGCCTCAATTTCCATTGTAATTCCTCATTATGTTGGCTCAGCCTCCTGGTATGGTGTACTTCTTCCTTAAACGATTCATGCAACTTTTGATTTTCTTGTATCAACGTTTGTTCATATTCATATTTTCGTTGAAGTTGATGTTGCAAATCTTCGCATCTCGCTTGTAGCGCGGAAGCTTTATCTTCGGCGCCTTCAAGAGTTTGCTGCTTTCGTCTTGCTTCTTCCAATGACTTTCTTAGTTCAGTTATTTCGTTTTGTTTTAATTCTAGAACTACTCTCAGTGAGTAGACTTCCTGAAATTGAAGAAAATATGTTTTAGTATAAAATCTTATAGACAAACAAAGAAAGAAAAACAGATAACATATACAACATATTGCACTTTTACGACATTTTCCGCGATTTTTCACTTCTTTTCAATCAAAATATATGAAAAGTATTCTCAAATCTGTTGAAGTGTGCATAGTACAGGGTGTCAAGTTATAAAGTACCACCACCTGTAACTTTCTTATTTTTGATCGTACAGAAAAAAGTTAAAAGATGGTGGTACTTTGTAGACGCGCTTTTGGTTCAAAACTGTATTTACAAAACCACAAAATGGTCTTAATTTGACTTTTGACTTTTTCTATTGAAATATTAGATTAACTATCGCAAATGGGTGTAAATTGTTTGCCAACGAAATTTTTCGCGATTTTATACTTTTTTTCACTTAAAATCCATTTCAAATATTCATAGGTGAATGTCCTACAGTGTGCGTTCAACGACAAAACAACCTAATTTGGAGCTGTCATATTCGCAGACGTGTTTTTGATTCAAAAATGCATTTAAAACCACAAAAAGGTCTAAATGTGGTTGCTCTTTTTCTATTGAAATATCAAGGGAAACTGTCGTGAATGGGTGTAGAATTGCATTTCAACGAATTTTTCCGCGATTTTTTACTTCTTTTTGATAAAAATCCATCCAAAGGTTTCTTATTTGTTGAAGTGCGCACAATAAAACACCCAAATTTGTCGATAAGAGTCATGCTGATCTTTTCATAGACGCGTTTTTTGTTCAAAATTGGATTTAAGACCACAAAATGGTTTATATTTGTTGTAAATGTGGTTCCTGTTGGGTTTTTCTATTTAAATATCTAGTGAAATTCAAGTAAATGGGTGAAAAATTGCATTTTAACGAATTTTCCGCGATATTTTACTTCCTTTCAATCAAAATATAACCCAAGTAGTATTGTGCGTTTTACAATAAAACAATCTAATTTGGAACTAATAATGATACAGATCCTTTGGTAGGCGTGTTTTTGGTTCAAAATTGCATTGAATACCACAAAATGGTCCAAGTTGTCCTAGTTTCAGTGAATTGGTGTTTTTACATATACTTCCCAGAGTCTTCGTTTTTCGTCAATAGGTACCTTTACGGAATTTCGAGCTTAGTCACGGGTCGATTCGAAAAGATCTGCGAGCTACAAATATTTAGTTTCAGTGAAAATGGCCACACAACATTTGCCTTGAATTGGTGTTTTGGGTCCAAAGTTTTATTCAGCTAGGTACGTATTAGCGGCTCCATGTTCTTGGTCAAAGCCTTCAATAAACATTCGGTCATTGTTGTATCTGTATCTTCAGTTTAATTATCTGTTGCTCTAGAGGCATGCCAATAGAAATTTGGTGTGATGTGGATCCATCAGTGGGTATTTGGGGATCAACATTATTCATTATGCTAGTTACTACTGTATCTGCTTGCTATTTTTCTTGTGGATTTGGGGTTTCTGGGTTCGGATAGTTTGGAATAGAATTACATTGGAATTACATTAATATCAAATAAAAAATAAAATAGGGGTAAGTAGTCTTTAAACAATAAATCGTTGAATTAAATAGTTTTTTTTTTGACAGAGACCCATGCAGGGCTCTAGTGAGGACACAGAGTGTGCCTCGAATATCCTGTCTTGGTCCGAGGGAAAGCCTCGTTTGGAGACTGAGACTGAACTGATATCAGTTAGTAATCTTATGCCATAAAATAATCTATACAACGGCACCAAATTTGTTTTTCCGCTGGATCTAAAAAAATCTGATCATTTTCTTCACCTAAGAAATCCACTGTGGGAAGTACGTACTGGTACTACTTCCATAAAACATATATTTGCTGATTAAAAAGCATATTTTACCTGTTTTGCTATATCTTTATCATCGCCATAGCTAAGTAATCTGTCGTTTTGTTCCCTTAGCCTTTTGTTCTCGTCTATCAGACTTTGGGATTCATTTTCCAGCTTTGCGATTTGCTGTTTCAGCTTGTCCCTGTGTAATTTTGCTGATTCCACCTAAAAAGGAGTAAATATTAGAGAAAGAATATTTATTTATACATTTATCTAACGTGGGTGCCAGTTACAGAGTTTTGAGGTTACAAAAAAAAAAAACGTGAGAATCTAATAACAAAAAAAAATAAAGTTTTAAATCTGAAACTAAATCATTTATCCATTGCAAAAACTGATGCTGATCACTGCCAGGGGAAGGTACCATATTCATCCAAACTAACTTGATACATCCTAGGAGCAGAGAGATACAACAATCAAGATCCGGAGTAAACATATGTTTCTCTCTGAATCTGAATCGGCATGTCCCGTTAGCTCCTTGGACGTTTGGATAGACCCACCAGAATGACTATACTGATGACTAATAACTATTGCTCTTACCCCTTCCTTTAACTTTATCTCTTTAGTTTCATAATCCTTCCGAAGTTTGGCACTCTCATGATTGGCCCTCTCCAATTCCTGACGTTTCTCGTCGATTTGTTCCCGAATGCATTCGTTTTCCTCGCGAAGTATATCGACTGCCTCTTCGTGAGATTGCTGAAGTTTATCCAACTCTTTGCGCAGCGTGGAAAGTTGTTCATCATGCCTTCGGTTCAACTGTTGTTCTGAGATGTTTTTTTCCAATCTAAGTTGCTCGTTGGCTTCGGCTTGTTGACTAGTTACTGAAATGTATACATAAATATTACCTGTACCTTTCACTACAGACAGCGAGTGCTTTTTTCTGAACTCAATCCTACAAATAGGTTTTGTTTTTCCTTGGAAAACTAGAAAGCCTGTCACATTAAATATCTTCGGATAAGTGGAATTTTACGTCAATGTTTGTGGGAAGCTTTTTTAAAAGAAAATTGGGCCAAGTTTGTTTTCAAAATTTTTCTTTACAATCCATATTTTCCACACTACATAGCGCTTCAAAGTGAGACTGTGAGCGTTTAAATATAAATCAAAAAAATTACAAAAAAAATATTTCAAATAGCACATCAAGTAGGGCTGCGCCAATGGGAATTTAACTTTAGGAAGGGTGTTTTAACATCATCAACCAAATATAATATTTGCGAAATTAAGTTTTTTTTTTTCTTTTTCCGGGGTTCATGGCCTATTATGAATAGAATTTAGTAAATTATACTTACATTGTGCGATTTGATTTCTGTGTGTCTCGATCAAATCCTCGATATCGTTCTGACAACGGACCCTTTCCTCTTCAATTGCAGTCAAATGTTTAAGCCTCTCTTTCCCGAAGGATTCGTCCAGGAGACGACAAGCCAACCGGAGTTCTTCAGCTTCTAGACTCAATTTTTCCACTTGTCGCCTAAGATTTGGCACTTCAAAGGCTTCCACCTGGAAAAACAAGAGATACTTAATTTTTTGCAACCCAAAACGTTATTATTTATCTTAAATTATAGATAAAAGATATTATTCATTATTCCTACAAAAATGACGCCCTTATTAGCTGAAAAGAACTGGAAGAATAATAGAGGAAACTCGAAGCGCAGGAAGTCGGAAGAAGATGATCTTGTGGGTAAAACATTTCAGAGGCTGAACACGATTAAATGTTGACAATTTTGTAAGGACAGAAAGAAGGTAAGAAGAACTAGGCAAGCTTAACGTCTATCCGAGGAGCACCCAAAGAAGAAGAATGAAATTCTTATTTGAAACCCTGAACATTGAAATTTATTAAACTAACTAGTTTAGGTTTAGCTATATACCTTTTCAAGTTTTAACAAAGTAAATAATACGTTGCTGCTGACGAATTGGTTCAAATTATACCTAATTGGCAAATCGAACTTTCTTCAAATATTTCTGGGATCTGGGGCATAACTTTTTAAAAATATTTCTATGGAAAAATTTGATGCATCATATACATAGATACATTAACATAAGTAAAATCAGTTGCAAAACCATATGCCTATATAAAATTATATCTATACTTCAAAGTTATATGCATAGCTCACTAAATACACCAATACACCAATCCGTTCTAAGGTACTAGCATTTATTCTGCTTCTTCTTCGATACTTCTAATTATGCGCCTTCCAAATCTTTGCCATTATGTACTCATCATTACCCTGTTGGGAGCTATTTCAGCTAAACACAAGTCGTTTATTATTTTGGGTAAATCTTTTTCCCCAAACCCAGATCCGCGTCGCGATGTCTATGGTTTTTTCGAATTTTTTGGAAAAAAAAAATACGGGCAATTGAAACGATATAACTAGATGCTAGTTGTTGCTAGGTTGGATGGATCGGTTTTTTCTGGACACATAGTTCGGCTGACTAGAGGAAAATCTTCATAATTTATTTGGCTCTGATTAGCTCCTTCTTCATGTTCTACTTCCAAAGCAATATCTTTGTAATATAATGTAATGTGATCTTAAGGAACCAAAATGGCATTTAAAATGTTGACCATTAAAAGGTAATGAGCTTAACTATAACTATTTGATTTTTAACAAAGTAGGTTAACAAGACATAAACGATAAGGCGGCAAGTAGGTACTTACAGATTTTTTAAAACCATTGGCAAAACGCATTTTCTGGTTCAAGAAAAATTGTTTCATGTTAAATGGCATATTTATTAACGAAAAGATAAAATAATCAGGAATGTTCATCGAAATAACAAAATTATAGTGTTAGTAAAAATGCGTTGTCACACCTCAACGACTACGCGGGAGCACTAAATGAAATATGCCGTTCCAATCTACCATACCAATACACAAATAAACTGCTCTCATAAAAACGAGGATTTAAGAATTATTGTATGAACAAATTGTTTTTTGGTTTCTATCAACAAATTGTACAAAAACTATACTCAAGCATTCAATTCCTATTAGTCTAGGAAAATTGTCGATTTTCAGAAAAAAAGATCCTACCCAAAAGAACTTTCCAGGGATGATAGGGGGAGGGTGGGTGATCATAAAACCGAAAATATCAAACATTCACCCCTCTGGCGTTTTGCGCTATAGGGGTTGAAAGTGCGCCATTGGCGATTACTTGGTACCTATTGATTTTACAAAAAAATGTTTCAAATAAAAGATGTGCAACATTATTTGATCCACAATGTTTATCGAAAGACTGATTAAGGGCCGTCTGTGGTCATAAGGGTCGTTTGAAATTTTATAATGAAAATGAAAAATTTCAACCAACGTGAAAAAAATTTCTACAACTCTTCTTTTACTCACCCCCTGCCGTTTTTCAATAGGGGTAGTTTAAAGTTTTTTTATTTTTTTACAAAAAAAAATTCTCAATAAAAGTTCTATAAGATGACATTTCCTACAATTTTTCCTAATCAACTTTTTTTGTAACTCACCCCCATTCAGCGGGGGGACACTTCCCTCGGGGAAATTTTAGTTTTTAGGGATATATATTAGTTTTTTTTTCTTTTCTCGCCTTTAGTGCACATAAAAAGTTGCAATTAACATTGTATTAGAAGGATTTTTTTTTTCACCACCTTTTTGTTTTTAGGGGTAGTTCGCCTATTTTCAACTTCACAAAAAAAAATTATAATGAAAACTTGTTCATTTTATTATTTTGAGCTACTTTTCTCCATAACTTTTTTTTGTAAAGTTGAAAATAGGCGAACTACCCCTAAAAACAAAAAGGTGGTGGAAGAAAAATTATTTTAATACAATGTTAATTGCACCTTTTTATATGCACTAAAGGCGAGAAAAGAAAAAAAAAATATACAGGGTGTCCCACTAAGGTCGGCCAGGTACGATATTATGGAGACCATAGACCTCACGTAACTTGAAAACGAATGCAGCTATTGAATTGCGGTTTGCGCCCAGATGTGGATATTTTTTTGCACTTTAAGCACAGCAATACAAAAATAATATTATGCCATTTGGATTTTTCATGAAAATTAGGAAAAACTGGATCTTGAATAACCAGCGCCCTCTAGCAGACGCGGTGGGAACTATCGACCTCGAACGAAGTGGTGTTCTTAATAACAATGAAATTCTCTTTCAATTAAACCCAAATTGAATGAGTTTGAATGAGGGGTACGGAAGATACAGCAATTTCAAAAAAAAAAAATTCACCAGCTTCCCTCACCCTTATTACTGAAGATACGAAAAAAAGCCTAATAACCAAACTGGCGCAAAAATTAATGATCTTTTGATTTCTGTTGTTAAAACAGTATCATAATATAGCGATTTCTTGAGAAAAGTTGAATTCTTAGCTATATCATCGTAATTGCGCCCCCTAGCGGTCATCCTAGAAACTTGAAAATAATTTCCATCAATTTCTCTTGGCCGATTTAGTGAAGAAAAAAAAATCCCGAAGCCGTAAGGTCTATGGTTTCCATAATATCGTACCTGGCCGACCTTAGAGGGACACCTGGTATACCCCTAAAAACTAAAATTATCCTAAGTGTCCCCCCCCGCTGAATGGGGATGAGTTACAAAAAAAGTTGATTGGGAAAAATTGTAGGAAATGTAATCTTATAAAACTTTTAAAGGAAATTTTTTTTGCGAAAAAATAAATAAACTTTAAACTACCCCTATTGAAAAACGGCAGGGGGTGAGTAACAAACTTCATAAAGCAAAAATGTTGTATGTGTTGTAGAAAATTTTTCACGTTGGTTAAAATTTTTCATTTTCATTATAAAATTTCAAACGGCCCTTATGACCACAGACAGCCCTTAATCAAAAAAGTTTTTAGATAAACATTGTAGATCAAATAATGTTGCACATCTTTTATTTGAAACATTTTTTTGTAAAATCAATAGGTACCAAGTAATCGCCAATGGCGCACTTTCAACCCCTATAGCGCAAAACGCCAGAGGGGCGAATGTTTGATATTTTCGGTTTTATGATCTCCCACCCGCCCCCTATCATTCCTGAAAAGTTCATTTGCGTAGGAATTTTTTTTTTGCAATACATGTATTTTTCGTCTATTTTCCTAGACTATATTCATTTATTCAAAAAACATCTGATTGGGCAAAAAATTCTTCAAAATATTCTGTTCTTAGCAAAAACTACAGATATCAAAATATGTTACGTATCCACATTTCTTATACACAGTAAATGGCTGTTTCAATAGTCTCTCTAGCCAGAACAGTGATTGTAAAACAAGATAATAATAATTGAATCATATACTTTGTGAAGTACTTTAGATTCTATCGATTAAAATAGAAACGTTCAATAAGAAATCAGTGAGCCTAAGCTTTATTATAGCATCAAATGACTATTTATAAATATATATTTTTTTATTTATAAATCTAATGCTAACGACCTTTTGAATACGATTTTTTTGCATTATTATCGATTGATATGAAAAAGATGCAAGCCAAGTATAAAGAGCCCACAAATAGCAAATTTTATTCTTATTGTTACCGATCAGAAGTAAGCCTAAATCAAAACCACCTGCAAATTTTATCCTTCCGACTTGTTGAAAAGGAATATTTTTGTTTTTTATATTTTCAATTTTTAAACTGCGGATAAAACTGCACTGGCGTGAACTTGGCAGCCAAAAGTTAGCAGCCTGACTCCCGAGTCTACCCGAACAATCAGTGGCGTCGTTTATGTGTTATTTTTTGAAATTATACATACCTACCTTTTTTTTATAAATACAATAAAATCAATCCAGTTATTAAAGGTAAACAAGAAAATATTGCAAATGGATCCAATACATGTTTTTGAAGATAAACAAAAAATTTAAATATTTGAAATATTAATTTTTCACCAACTTACGGACGGGACTTTCCACATATTTTTCTCAACCAGGTGAAGTCAAAAATGCTTTTACACACGATGAACTCATTCTGGGGCACCTCACTTGAATTGCAAATGGGTCGAAGGGTGGTTTTTGGGAGTGAAACAAGAAAATTGGGGAACTGGAAATATCAAATTTTCCCAGAATTACGCGTCTTGCGACATTTTCTTCACAACCAAATGTATTAAAAACTGTGCCTACGCACCATGGGCACCTTTCAGGGCACCTAACTTGACTTGCAAATGGGTGCAAGGATGGTTTTTGGGGGTAAAACAAGAAAAATGAAAAACTGACAATATCAATTTTTCCCAGAATTACGTGTCTTGCGACATTTTCTTCACAACCAAATGTATTATAGACTGTGTCTAGGCACCATAGGTACATTTCGATGCATCTTACTCGACTTGCAAATGGGTCCAAGGGTGGTTTTAGGGGGTAAAACAAGAAAAATGAAAAACTGGCAATATCAATTTTTCCCAGAATTAGGTGTCTTGCGACATTTTCTTCACAACCAAATGTATTAGAGACTGTGTCTAGGCACCATAGGCACATTTCGATGCATCTTACTAGACTTGCAAATGGGTCCAAGAGTGGTTTTAGGGGGTAAAACAAGAAAACTGAAAAACTAGAAAT